TATGGTATCAAATTTTCATTCACACAACCTGTTAGTAAGTGCAATGGCATAAAAACTTCTCTCCCTAACATCATCATGTTAGGAGTAAACCCTGTTGATGCATTCACAGTTGAAGGTAATGCCATAACTAATTGAGGTAAATCCCTATCCCAATATCTCACATTCCCTTCTACATTACATCTAATCAACTTGTCCATTAGCACTTGCTCTAAAACCAGTTGTTCTAAGTTGTTTGATTTCTAATAATCTACACAAATTTCTAAATAGACTACTTTGAAAATTTGACCCTTAATCTGTATATATCTCTTGTGGACAACCAAAAGTAACTATGAATTTTTCAAAAAATGCTTTTGCTACTAATTCAGCTGTCTGATTTGGCAATGCCACACACTCTATCCACTTAGTAAACTGATCTATCATAACCAAAATATAAGAATTCCCAAATTCACTTGGGTAAACGGTCCAAGTATATCTAAATGAACCTTTTCCATAGGAAATCCTGCATGATGTAATTTCATTTTGGCTTTTGGTCGAACAGTACTATGCTTGTTTTTATTGCAAAGTTCACATGAACTTATATACAATTTACAATCTCTATTCATTCCATGCCACTTGAATGATTGTTTGAGTTTTTGCAAAGTTTTCTCATAAGCAAAATGACCAGCTGTTTTTGAATCATGACAGAAAAATAAAACTTCATTGACCAAATCTTTTCGTACAATTAAACACAAATTTCTATCCTCTCTCTTTTCCCATTTGTAATATAAGACATCATTGAAAAGAATCAATTGCTCTTTGCAATTCCACAATTCTTTCACTGCCATACTACACAAATACAACTCCGACTCTTTCGGTTCACCATTCTCTAACCAACCTTTGATTATTTTCAAATATGCATCTTTTCTCTGCAATTTTTTCAAGTCATATCCTTTCAACCAATTGCATAATTCATCTCTTTCGTTCTTGTCAGTTTTATCATTTGTATCAGCCCTCTGACACATCAAAGCTGAACTGAATTTTACACAATTTGTTTCATTCTTCATATCACCAACTGCATTCAATTCAACTACATTGTCATCTGATTTCTTACTTCCCAGAGGAATTACATCATTCACATCAGTCTCAAACCTTGACCAATTTTTATGTACTCTCTGAAAATAATGACATCCTCCACAGGGTAAATCACTCAATTTCACTCCCACCTTATAGCAATCACACTCTTTCATAGCTAAAGGTATTCTTGATAATGCATCTGCATTTCCATGCTTCTTTCCTGGTCTATGTTCATTGGTAAAATTATACTGAGATAATTCTTCTAACCATCTTGCTAACTGACCATCTGGGTTTTTAAATCCTAACAACCATACTGAACTATGATGATCTGTTCGGATTCTGAACTTTCTTCCCAACAAATAATGTCTATATTGTCTACAGAAGTTTACAACAGCTGCTGTATAGGTGACATAATTTTACTTCCATAAGCAATAACCTTTTCTTCACCATGTTGTATCTGTGAAAGTTCTGCTCCTACATGAATATGATGCATCTGTATCAAGTATAAATTCACCTTCAGACAAAGGAAAGGCAAAACAAGGGGCAGTTGTTAACTCTTGTTTTAAACTTTCAAATGCTATTTGATGTTCATCTGACCAACTAAAAACACTTTTATTCCCTGTCAACTCATACAAACAAGCAGTTTTCTCAGCAAATTGAGGAACATGATCTCCATGATAATTTATGAAACCAAGGAATGTTTCAACTTCCTTTTTGTTTGTAGGTACTGGTCACTCTCTAACACATTCAATCTTACTCTCAGTTATACCAACACCTTCTCTACTGATAGACTTTCCTAAGAATTCACACTTTGTTTGGAAAAGAAAACATTTCTTAGGCTTTAACTTCAAGTTGTAAGAACGCAATCTCTCCAAAACCTCTTTCAAATTTCTAAGATGATCTTAAAAATTCTTCCCCAACACTGTAATATCATCCAGATACACTAACACTTTCTCCCAAGTCAAACCTCTCAATACTAACTGCATTGCTCTTGAAAAACTTGCAGGGGAATTTGTAAGTCCCATAGCCATTCTCTTATGCTCATACAGACCATATCTGGTGATAAAAGCAGTTTTGTTTCTGTCTTTCTCATCAATTTCAATCTGAAAATATCCTTGAGCCATATCAATCAGACTCAAAAATTGATTTCCAGCCAGACAATCTAAACAATTACCAATGTTTGGAATAGGGTAAGAATCTTTGATAGTTTTCTTATTTAATTCCCTATAATCCACACACCATCTAACACTTCCATCTTTCTTTCTTATCAATACTGGTGGGGATGCCCATTCAGAATTTGACGACTGAATAACATCAGAAGCTAACAACTTTTCAAGTATTTTTTTCTCTTCTCCCTCCATTCCCAATGGAGTTCTACGCAATTCCTTTTCACAGGAGCTGCAATACCAGTGTTAATAGTATGCTTAACACCTTTCATGCACCCCAAATCAAGATCATGCTTTGCAAATACATCTTCATAATCTCTCAAAGTTCCACACAATGCAACCATTTCATTTGAATCAAGCTCCTCACTTGATCTTTCAAATAAATCTTGCAAATGTTCAGGCAAATCTCTTTTCAAACATCTCATCACTTCTTCTTTTTCCATATTTTCATCTATATTGAACTTCATTTAAACTTTATTCACAGCAGACGCCCTAGCTTTTCCATCTACATCTTCTTTACATCTCACTTCCAAATCAACTATCTCAACTTCTTTAATAACACCTAACATACTACCTGCTTTCAAAACAGCATTTCTTTCTCCATCATTCACTATCCTTTGCATTTCTGTGATGTCATATTTGGTGCGGGACAGTTTTGGCAATAGTCGCCGCCATATTTTTGAACATTCACAAAGGACTACGTCAGGCGGTGGAAACGAGCTACTTATATGATTAAGACGAGCCTAGCCGTCAGTACCGGATATTGTTTTGTGACCTTGAGGAGCAATTAGGTTTGGTCTTTGCGGCACGCATGAACAGTAGTCGAACTACCACACCTGGGTCTTTTGTTTTTGACAACTGTTCACTCGTCATCGAGGCGCTTGTTCAAGACTACAGGCTGATATCTACTAGTACTACCAGTGGCTTCATTAGTAACATTCCCACAATACTTAGTTTTTCTGTCTGTACGTACATACCCTGAAAAAAGCCAGCCTCGCTGACGAGAACAATGGACGTTTCTCACCCCTCTCTAGGATTACCCCTGACTACGTTGAATGTCATTGTTAAGTTTTCTACTTTTTATATTTTGGTAAGAAAACATGGTAGGTTGTGGTATAGTCGGTTGTTCCAATTGAAGTAACAGAGAAAAAAATCTTAGTTATTTCAAAGTTCCCAAAGTTATACTGGGACAGGGAGATGAAACAAAAAGAATATCCGAAGAAAGGAGACGCATGTGGAAAGCAGCTATACATAGGAAAGACATTACATCGGAAGAAAAATGGGATAGAACGTTCGTTTGCTCAAAGCACTTTGTTGGAGGTATGCCACTTTTGAAAATTGAATTATTGTAATTTGCACTTATATATTCTTGGTCCGTTGTTGAAATGTCATTATTTATACTTAAAAAAAGTTGATACTGAGTGGCGGGCCCGCTCATGGGCAGTCTCATTTCTCTACTTTCCCTGTTTCTACCGGGAATTGCAAGTAACATATAAATGAATTCAATCTCATAATTGTTATGGTGTGAAGACTACTGTACACCAAACAGAAGTGTTGCTCTTTATTTTATTGTCTTCATGGATTGTTTTCTAAAGAGATAAGCTACAGTTAACATCACTCATATTCTATGCAGTCATTGATGTTATTTTATGACGTGTTTAAGCGCATTTTGGGGTCTGTCAGTTACTACATAGTGTTTCTTTTTTTGTTGTTATTTTAATATAGGAAAAAGTGCATATCTGCATGACAGAAATAATCCATCCTGGCTTCCGACACTTGCTTTAGGCCACACATCAAAGATGACAACAGGGTCAACTAAAGCAAGATATCAGCGTTACAGTCAACGAGGCAATAAAAGAAAAGTATCTGATGCAATCTCATCACTTTTAACTCTGAAAACTCCTCGTTTTCTCTCTGGGAATATGCCCTTAGAAGATGATATGGCAAACTCAGACATTCCACAAGGAGCTGAGGAGGCCATGGCCATATCTGAGGAATCAGATCCTAAAACCTGCGAGATAGGAACTCAAACATGTGACAAGGGGATTCAAACTGAGAACATGGTGTCAACCACTGAGATAGGGACCCAAACTGACTTAACCTCTGGACATATTGAACAAATTGAAAATGACAATAATGCAAGGGTTGCTGAGTCGACAGCTTTGAAAAAGTATACATTCTCAAGAGAAGGTCTTTACAGATTTGCTGCTTTCGAGAATGATGACAAAAAAGTCTCATTCTATACTGGACTGCCTGATTTAGAAACTTTATAAGTACCATTTGATCTGATTGAATCACAGATGAGTAATAATTCAAAATGTTTGTCAAAAGAGAACAGATTTTTGCTGTGTATGATAAAACTCAGGTTGAATTATAGCTTTCAAGATATAGCATACCAGTTAAATGTGTCAGTGTCAACTGTTCAAAAAAGTTTTCATTCTGTTCTTGATCTGCTGTATACAAGATTGATTTTCTTAGTGAACTGGCCAGAAAGAGAGAGTCTGAGGGTATCTATGCCAATGTCATTCAGAAAAGAATTTGGTGAGAAAGTCGCAGTTATTCTGGATTGTTTTGAACTAAAGATTGAAAAACCCAGTGGCCCTTTGAACAAGGTGTACACTTATTCCAACTACAAACACTACCATTTAGTTAAATATCTCATTGGAATTGCTCCACAGGGTGCTGTTACCTTTATCTCCGAGGGTTGGGGTGGACGAACATCAGATAAATATATCACTGAAGAATCTGGGGTTCTAGAGAATCTTTTGCCAGGTGATGTTGTAATGGTGGATAGGGGGTTTACAATTGAAGATTCTGTGAATTTTTATCAAGCAGAATTAGCCATTCCTGCATTTACCAAGGGGAAATCACAGTTACATCCCATGGATTTAGAAGAAACACGCAAAATTGCAAATGTACGTATTCATGTTGAACGTGTCATTGGTCTAGTATGTCGCAAGTTTAGGATCTTGGATGGTACTATACCGATAGAATTTTTGAGACTTCGAAATGGGGAAAATGACCCAACTATAGATAAGATTGTGCATGTCTGTTGTGCTCTCACAAATTTGTGTCCATCGGTTGTACCTTTTGATTAAATGTGCAACATGGAAGAAGTGATTTGATAAATAATTTTTATTCTTCAGTTATTTGAACTATATTTTTAGCACCCAAATATATTTTCAGTCTTCAGTATATTTCAATTATATATAGTTAGCACCAAAGTATATATATTTGTAGCACTGGTGTTATTTTTAGTAATAAAATTGCATAAATGTTGATATTACTTTCTCTGTTGTTGCTCTCAAGTGGTCTTAAAAGAAAAAAACTCTCTTAAAGAAAAAAGACGAAAAGGAATGTTGCAATATGAAAGGAATTGTCTTAATTGAGCATAAATTATTATTTTAAAAAACAAACTAATTTTTTAGCCTTTCATGTAAAGAATTTATTGTGGGTGGAAAAAATAAGTTGTGGTACCCCTCTTTACATGCTTTCTCAGCATTTTATCATCACTTTCCAAATGCCAATGGGAATCAGTTTACTGACTGCAAACTAAAAATACTTGAAAGAAACTACTTGTTAAACATATATACAGTCAAAGAAAAGTAAAAAATTGCACTTGTGAGACATTCATTGCATGATAACTCCACGGTTAAAATGCTATCACAGAACTTAATGGTCATCATATCAGTTCACTGACTGCAGGCAAAGGACTAAATAAAGTACTTGTAAAACATATACACTAAACTACTTGTAAAATATATATATATACAGTCAAAGAAAAGTATAAAAATTGCACTTGTGAGATATTCATTGCATGATAACTCTACTGTTAAAATGCTTGTCCTGCATTTTATAACCACTTTCCAAAATGCGCCAAAGGGACTCAGATCACTGACTACAAACTAAAAGGACTTGAAATACCGTAAACTACTTGTTAACCATATATACTAAACTACTTGTAAAACATATATACAGTCAAAGAAAAGTATAAAATTGCACTTGTGAGACATTGTTTTTCATTGCACAATGTATCCACTGTTAAAATGCTATCACAGACTTTAATGGTCATCATATCAGTAACTGCATGCTACAAAAGAACACAGTAAATGGAATGTTTAAAGAACACATTGCACTCTTGAGACATTTTCTTTCAATTGCACCATATTTTTATCTGAAAATGTTTTCAACTACATTTCTCACAAAACCATTTTCCTTTTGTCACCCTTTTAATCCTCAGACATGTCATGTGAAACCATACTGTGACACAATTTTCTCCATCACAAGCTATCATTTTCCTACCATCATCACCACCACCGCAGACACAATATGAATGGCCATCAGCCTCAGTTGCAGTTCTTGAAAAAAATGAGGATATCAATTCAGGCATAATCACCCTGCGATGAAAATTCTGCCCCTTGCAGCACATATCCTCCCACAGTTTAGTATCCCGAGTGATTCTCTCACAGAGGGTTGCATGTGGTGTCCAGATAAAAAAGTCACAGTATTGGCGATCTGTTAAAAAAAGTTGCATTTGCACTTGGTAAAAGTATTTGGTTTCTCTTTTTAACTTTTTGTCCTTCAAATAGGGCATGTCAATAGTATCTGAATCCTTAAGGGTGGAGGGGCACTTGACCTCTAAGAGCCCAGATCCACAACAGCTGCAACTGACTAGGGCATCAGGACTTGCTCCAAACTCCGGATAGTCTGGATGAAGGACCAGACCACTATCCTTCATGGTGAAGTCAGTGTGTTGTCGATTCATCTCGTTGTTATATGCCTTCTTTGCAACTGGTTCCTTCCTGATGCCCCAGTCAGTATGTACACTTTTAAATGATGTTGGCTTGCAAATGCCTTTTATAAGAGACCTAGAGGGAGTCTCTGTGTTGGTGCGAGTGGCCTCATATATTCTTGAGGCTGTGATCCGGCCAACCCTGTATTGACACCACTTGGCAGACTTTGCTTGCTCTCTTGTCACACTTTCAACAAATGATACCTGTGACGGGGTCACGTTAATGTTCACACTGTCTGCATGCGCAAGTATTTCCTCATATGAGGCATCCCTCAAACTGTCATTCCTAACTGACTTGAGGTCAACAGGCCAATCACCTTCCAGTGTCTTAGGTTTAAAACTGGCTGCATAATCCTTGGATACAGACAGGGCAACAGCAGTTCCTTTTTTTGTGAGCTTACTGTACACTGCTTCCATCTCACGTTTTGTGGGTGAGGAAATATTGGGATGGACAGGTGCTACGCTTTCCCTCCGCTTCTTACTTGCAGACTGGAAGTCCAGGTCTCTTATTCTTTTGTAGGGGTGTTCCAACTACAGGAAAAATATGAAAAAAATGTTTAAGATGCTAGTAATAACACACATTTCTGCATGTGGACAATTGAGTGAAATGATAATTTACCACGAGTAAAATAAACATTATGGAAGGCTACCAA